TGGTGACTGGAACATAATTATTTTTAGCTTCGTGTCTAATAAAGACTGCAAGACTTGATGCCAAAATGGAGGCCAAAACAAATAATAATAAATTGTTCTTATGAAAAAATACTCTATAGTTACAATCAAAAGACTCGGAATTTTGTACTGAAATCTTTATAGCAGTCCAAACTAAGTAAATGCCGATACTACCAAGTACTCCGTTATAAATGTGTTTTGGGAAGATATCCAAAAAGAAACGAAGCTAGGTTTTTTTACAGATGTTAATATACATGTTAATAATTATAAATAATATATATAATAGATTACCTTGAATCGTACAAATAATAAAAGTCCAACACCAGTTAGTATGGCACTTAGAGCGTGAGCAAATAATATTGTGTAAACCACATCATATTTAACATTTAGGTTGGCCGATACATGATTTTCAATTATTTCCGCTCTTTTTTTAAAAGTATTATAAATATTATTCCTTTCTTCTAAAATACAAAAAACATCGTAATAGTTATTGAACAATTTACTTACATCGAATGTAAAAATGGTAATACTATTATTATTTTTTAAAACAAAAAAGAAAAAAGATCATTTATTAATCATGAAATTTTGATCTATAATTTTTTCCTAAAAATACTTGCATTGTATTATCATTATATTTCCTCCTTGAAGGCTACCAAAAATTGAACTTACGACTTTCGAAACAATACAACTTTATTGATAAAGGATCATTAGCCAATTAAACAAATTCGATTAAAGTGAACGATTATTATTATATAATTTACCTCGTAAAAAACATTGCCATTCCAATATATTTATAAGCTCTAAATAATTTCACGTTACTGTTGTTATTGTGATCATGAGTAGGAAATAATATAATACCTAATTCGTTTTAAAAAAGTTAATCCTTACTGATATACACTGTACTTTTCAATATACTAATATTATTATCAATTACCAAATGCTACTCCATGTACGATATTTAATATTAGAACTGAAACTATGTTGTAAAATTGCAGCGAAAAACAGCCAATCTTTCTTTCTGGTTTTGAATCTCGGTATTCTCTCGATCTTGTCGTTTCAGCACCATTATTTTCATCAATGTAATCTGTATTATTTATACTTGACCCATCTATTGCTATCATTTCTGACATATTATCCACTATTTTGTGTTGTTGTCGAAGTGAGAAATAATAATCTGTTCGTAGTGGTAGATTACTGGGCAGCATTATATTTGGTGCCAGTCGTACTGTTGATGGTAATTTTAGCATCCTAGTCAAATTACTACAATTACACTTATTATTGTAGCAATAGTGATCGCAGTTCAGACGATTTCCTACTGCTGTGCTAGTTTCTCCCAAACCTTATTAGATACATGGATGGGTCATTAGTATTCTATTTAATTTTATGTATATTTTAAATTAAAGATTCTTACATTCATTATAAAGATATAAATTATTATTGTTCATGTTTAGAAATATTGTTGTTTTAACAATCAGAGGATTATTAAGAGAGAGTGTGAGATAGTCGTCTTTTTGTAGGGAAACAGTTCAGCCCAAACCGGTAAGGATCGGAGTTGGAGTTATAAAATCAATTTTTGTTTTAGTTTTATATAGTGATTTCTTTATTTGTATATTTTATTTATCTTGAACGTTCTAAAGAGAATACAAACTAGGGTACAAAATTTTTTCTGAATTCTTTCTAAAATGCAATAAGAAATATTTACCGGGAAAATAATAAAACTTGATGGCAAGCTAAGCTAAAACTTAAAATAAAGCAACAATTAACTCCTTTAGTCATATAGTTCACTTCCTTCGAATTTCATTTTGAAATAATTTGCCAATA